ACTTCCCCACGGGGAAGCTATATTCAGTGTATATATAAGCGGAGTAGACAGCAAGCTTTTTAGTGGGACACCATATTTGACCCGCGGACTAGTTAGTCCACTGTTCTGAATACTATGCAGCCATAGATCGCATTCACAACGAGTTGACTAAATATGGCGGACGTACATGAAAGAAAGACCGCCTAATCTTTTAATAGTCTCTCCGCCTCTCACACGCCTCCCCTAACGTCGTCCCTGCNTCATTGAACTCCAAAATGTTGCAAACGGAAAAAGAAACCCACAAACTAACAGAACCAAAAACATAACCTCCTTGTCGAGGTAAATATTTAGAACAGCGTGTTGGTCAAATTTTGAGAGTGCATACCGTATACCAAATGGGGGCTTGGACAATTGAATCACTTCATGGACACTGGTGAAATCAAACCGTCATCTGGTGGTCTTTATAGCACTTAAACAAGTTTGGGCTGACTTTCATGCCTAATTGCACATTTATTATACGGCAATAACCGACAAATTTCAAACAGTACCTCTTTAATTCTGTTTTATTTTTCCATACTTTGCAATATTTGTATTGACTAACTTTAAGTTAGTCTAACAAATAAATAAATAAATATATATATATATAGTCTAACTCTATATTCACTATATATACTACATGCCTTTCTCATCAAATATTAAGAAACCAGACTCAGAACAATATTTCAGTAAACTAGTGATGGAAAACTAATTTTGTTCTAATGTTATAAGAAACTACCATTTGCACAATGGAGAAGAGCATTCTTCATTTCATATTTCATTTGACAGGAAAATCAATAGCAACTAAAATGCTGCACATGGCTGCCAAGTGTCCTAGCTGCATTAGGAGGGGCAATCTGGCATTTTGATCGAGTTTCCCTTGTCCCCAACTGACAACCAATATTTCCAACAGAACAATCAAAATATTTTATTAATAATCATGTTTGATGGTTTCTCCTCGAGTTCTAGGCCACATTCAGAACAGTGGCCTATAACTCGGGACTTACTAGTCCGAGGGTCAAATCTGGCCGACCCACTTGAATACTTCCCCACGGGGAAGCTATATTCAGTGTATATATAAGCGGATTAGACAGCAAGCTTTTTAGTGGGACACCATATTTGACCCGCGGACTAGTTAGTCCACTGTTCTGAAAACTATGCAGCCATAGATCGCATTCACAACGAGTTGAGCCAGGCTTTACAAATCCTGGGGACTAAATATGGCAGACGTACATGAAAGAAAGACCGCCTAATCTTTTAATAGTCTCTCCGCCTCTCACACGCCTCCCCTAACGTCGTCCCTGCAGGGGGACAGTCATTAAATCTCGGCTCCATTGGGACGACACATGGGGAGGCGTGTGAGAGGCCTGGCTCAACCCGTTGTGAATGCGACCATAGAGTCCTCCTGCCTCCAAACAGCACGGATCCCTTTGTAACCACAAGGCCATTTCGTACACATTTTCAAACTTGTTCATTCTTTTCACCTGTGGTGCAGCAATGCAGGTCTTTAACTCGTTGATCCCTGCTACTTAATTTCTTATTACACATTGCAATCAATCTTCTTCTTCAAACATTCTGCAAATCAAGGCACTTGCACCACAGGTTGTAATTTATTATAGGTCCAGATCTTATGCTAGTTACTCCAATTGTTGACAACTATAGGTACGTATCTTTTGACAATGTCAGAAAAGTACCATAGCACATATTTTCTTCACTTTTGAATATACAGGATTGATGGAGATTAAGTTTCCAGTAATTTTTTAATATATATATAAAATAATGGAAAGACAGCTGCTCAATAATCCAACCAATAATATGAGGTAAAAACATGTTTCAAGAAAATGTTTCATCAATCCTGTTCCATCAACTTTCTTTTTTCACTATGCACATCTAGTATTGCATAAATACAGCCAATAACATCTTACGGTTACAACTTTTGTTTAAAGAACATCACACTTCAAGGCAGCTGTTATCAAATCTTATCATCTTTTCTGTTCATTGGTATAGATCCCGCTAACAATGAGGATATTATTTCTGTCACAAGCATGGGTTTATTAAGGTAGCAGAAATCAAATATTAACACTTTTTATTTGCCACATGCATACACCCAATGTTATAATGGTTATACCACTTTCAAGAATCTGTTTACATGAGGCAGCTGTTCACAAATATTAATTACTTCAAATTTATGTTAACAAGCTTCCGACAATACAGCTACAGTATGTCAACAACTAGGAATTCAAGACAAACGACCAGGTATTGACATTTTCTGATAACATTTATATGCTAGTTAATTCCCAATAGCACCTTGACTAGGACAGGATTCTATCACCATGATGTACTACAGTTTAATTGTGACCATATTAATTAACAAAGTTCTGGGGCAACATGTGAACATTTTTTCCTTTTTCAAATAACAGCGTGCATGTTATTACTTTTGTGAGACATCGTCAGGCATGTTAAAAGACTTATGGGGACCAACAACACAGGAAGCTAGGATCTGGTGACACTGGTGGCATTAATTGAACAAATCACAATAATTTATAAATACACCTGCGCGAATCACTGTGGAGTCGTAATTTGAACTTTGGTGATCAAGGCTACCTTTTTTCCATGCCCAGTTCACAAAAGAATTCAAACCAAAAATTGGTGTTAACATTAATTTGTTCACGGTCTTAGCTTTTAAGAACAAAGAAAAAGAAACTGTTCTACACTACAAAGAAAAAGACATATTTTGTTTTCATATCTACACCTTCTGCCAAATGAGGTAATGTTTTCATTGGTTTTGCTTTTGTGCAAGCAAAATATTTTTTAAAAATAGTTACAAAGGATGAATTCGTGGGTACCACATTTATTCTGTAGTTATGGATTCATAGAAATGTGAAGAATTGGAACTACATCTGGGTGTCCTAATATTTTAAAAGATTTTTTCCTATTTTGTTCTTATTACCCTTTTGCTTTTATTTTTTTAAATTTTCTTTACTTTCATTATCATCTACTTCAAATTTTTTCTTATTTCTTATTTTGAGACACTCTTCAAGTTCAAGTCTTAAAAGTGTTCTCCAGTTTACAGTACTGTACTTTACTGCTTTCTTTCCAAAAGATAACGGTCCATGCAACACTTTCCAGATCAGATCCCATGATGCATCCTCTTTGGTTTCATTTGAATGTAAAAAAAAAAAAA